TAGTTAGCCTGGTGGTTACGTAGCTAGTTACGGTGTAATTAGTGTAGTTAGCCTGGTGGTCACGTAGCTAGTTACAGTGTAATTAGTGTAGTTAGCCTGGTGGTCACGTAGCTAGTTACGGTGTAATTAGTGTAGTTAGCCTGGTGGTCACGTAGCTAGTTACGGTGTAATTAGTGTAGTTAGCCTGGTGGTCAGGTAGCTAGTTATGGTGTAATTAGTGTAGTTAGCCTGGTGGTCACGTAGCTAGTTACGGTGTAATTAGTGTAGTTAGCCTGGTGGTCACGTAGCTAGTTACAGTGTAATTAGTGTAGTTAGCCTGGTGGTTACGGAGCTAGCGTTATTTATAAATGTGTCGTAACCCTCCACCACCCGACACGGCCAATCAGCAAAAAAAGTGTCACATTGACAAAAGAGTTTCACTACATCAGCCCACCGGTGTGTTGAAGAGTGAATCCACAACATTTACAGTTTGAATACGACGTTTCGCTGGTAATTACATCCAGCATTATCGGGCAATTCGCCAGAATGGTAAAGCCCTCACTTACTCCCGGTCTTAAATAGAGCAGCAGCAGGGTGACGTCTTCATTTAACTCATTCAGGTGCAGTGATTATATAATCGATTGGTGATCAGTGACAGCGCCGTGACTACACGGGACGTCGCGCTTGACTTGAGCAAAAGGCAGACGGCACAAAGAATGAAGACGCACAATGTGACACTGTGAACTTGCGAGACGATTTCGTTTTGAGCGTGCAACAATCACCGCCATTCTGCTGGGTAAAATGTGTAGTACTCTTTGGTTCTATTGGGTAAAGTCACGTAGGTGAAAATAAAATAACAAAAAATCACGACGTTTCGGCCACAACACAAGCGGCCTTCATCAGGTGAAGGGACGAGACTGTCTGGAGGATAGCGCTGACTTTACCCAATAGAACCAAAGAGTATGGATCCTAGCAGTCACGAAAGATTTAAATCTAGAATTAAAATGTGTAGTCCAATCGCTTGGCACTAAACATTTTATTTAAATGTGAAGACATTTGTCGATCCACTGCTGGATAAATTCCTCCACCACGATGTTTCTGCCATGGGGGTTGTTTGACCATCATTCACCACATTGGTCAGTGTGGATTGGTGAAGGACAGGTAGGTGCCCGGAATTAGTTCAGATATCACTCGCTACTGATGTCATCCGTGATCAGTAATCAAACTTGACTCGCTGCTGGGTTCATAGTGCATTGTGCTAACAATTGCACCGCTACTACACCTTAAACATTGAATGTCATCATTGACCACGATCAATCCACAGCTGGATGAAGACCTCCCGGTGCTATCCGTGTACCTGCTTGAGTCCCGAGTGGTTGGGGTCATCTGAGTGCAAGTGGTGTGTGGTTATCCACGTCGGGTGAGTTTCCTCACCAACCTGCATTGACCAGGGTATAATGACTAACGGTCACGTATCTTCCCCACAATTTTAACGCATCTTGATACATTAACCTGAATCTGAAAATTTGAAATATTCATCATTACGAGGAAATAAAACAGGAAGGAGACAGACTTCTAAACATGGATTTCTCTGTTAGATGCAGTCATTTGATGCCACTATTTGTGATGTCTCAGGGAACACGATGTGACAAATCAAGCATACCAGCTTATATGGAAGAATGTCTCGATTCCAGCTCTCAAATCAACAGATAGACACGATGCTTATATAAATAACCACATTGTACAGCTTACCGACCTACCAAGGAGTTGACGCGTTCTTTCGCTGTCTTCTAGTACACAGGTAACTATAGGCTACAACAGGTGTTTCGTAAAGCCAGTAGATACACCTTTCTGCGGCCCACTTTTCACTTCCCACAAAATCAGCAGCCTGCAATACAATGCAGCGATACGGTCCAATTTACACTTCAATGGCGACTAATGGGAGATGCGAATGGACCGTGGAAGACTGGCCCACAAACTTCAGTTTGAGAATGCAGAGGACTGGAGGGAAAAATGCCAAGGAAATCCCGATCGGATACCCCCCCCCCCCAATCTCTCTCTACGAAGAGTTGACAGGCGGGGATTTGAGAGGCGGCAGCAGCAGCAGCAGATGGTGGCCGTACGCTTGTGGCAGCGAAGCCCCGAGTAGCCGTCCCTGCAGGTGCACACGCCAGGGAGCCGCGCAGCGCCCGCCGTTGACGCAGCCATCTCGGCACAGCGCTGTTCGGGGGGCATCGCCAGAGGCGCACGGGAGGAGGAGCCTTTAGCCGTCGGCAGAATCCTTGCATCGGGTAGAGTGGCCCCAGACATCGTCGTCGTCGTCGTTGTCGTCGGCCGCTAAGTGATCGGAGTGGCGATGATGACGCATTGGCGAATGTTCGTGCGTGTGTATGTGGTCACAACAGTGACTTCCTGGGCCTCAATTATGTCGGCTCAGACTTAAATGAGTACCTGGTGTGCTGTGGATACGTCAGCATTGGGGCGACAAAAGCGGCTTTGGGGCCGTCCATAAATGACGTCACGCGATTTTGGACGATTTTTGACCCCCCCCCTCGTCATTGTCACAAATGTCTGACCCCCCCCCCCCCAAAAAAAAAGATAAAACATGCTTCAAATCGCTTTAAACGATTGTCATTGTAGTGCGTATTTATTGTGCCGCTGCACTCTGATGTTGTAGGAGAAAACATTTATTAACAAGTCTATTTAATTAAGTGGAACGTGTTGTCTATATTTATTTAAAGTTGCGCATTTTGATGTGACGTCACATTGCTCACCCCCCCCCCTCGTCACACATCGTCACAAATGTCTGACCCCCCCCCCCCCCAGGTGCGTGACGTCATTTATGGATGGCCCCTTTGGCGTGGTGTTGGCCACACCACCTACTCGATACAAGACGTACACAAGCTGAAGAATCAGACTGGCGAACGAGAGGCACAATTGAAATAAATACATCGTGACACGGTTGGCATAGATGAGGTGAGAAGGAAAGGAGAGCACCCCATACCTCTGAAGAGTGGCATAACCTTTCCCATCATAGGGGCACAGCTGACAGTAATTCTAGAGGAATGGGATTATATTATTGCTGTCTCTGAGAATCGCACTTCGTGTTTGATCGCTCTCATCGGATAGGGCGACCTGAAACACTGGCGGTGTACTTTCTCACTCTCGCTTGTGTACAATTACGGGTTACCAGAGCACAGAATGCAAGCTCACATTCACTCGGGTAAGATGGGCTGCAAGCACAGTGGCCAGATGTTAACTACCTCGCCTAGTATACAGGAGGTCGTTGGTTCGATCTCGACCCTGACGCCTGCTGCTGTATATTTGGATGTTCTCCCCTTGGTCGTGTGGCTTTTTCTCCGAGTCCTCCGGTTTTTCCCTCCCAATTCAGAAGCATGCGTTTGGAGTATTTGGCTGCTAGAAATTTTCACACAATAAGCCACTTCGTTGAGCTATCATTTGTGGCCAGGTCGCTTCTAAAAAAAAGAGCTTTACAGCTCAGTGGGCCCTGGTAAAATAAAAAAGTTTTAATTTAGTATGAGAGGGCAACATTCTCGTCGGTAATGGCATAAGACAGGAGGCGGCAGTGTATACGTGGTGCATCTGCGTTCGAGGCTTAGCCAATTTTCACAGCCTCAGATCAATCCACTGCTGGATGATGCCTTTCCCCATATTATATGGGTTACTTGACCATACTGCACCACACTGGTCAATGCGGTTTGTTTGAAGGGGTCCAGATATCACTTTCAATTCATGTTATAGTCATTCCCTGTAATCGAACTTACAGTGAGGGAAAAAAGTATTTGATCCCCTGCTGATTTTGTACGTTTGCCCACTGACAAAGAAATGATCAGTCTATAATTTTCATGGTAGGTTTATTTGAACAGTGAGAGACAGAATAACAACAACAAAAATCCAGAAAAACGCATGTCAAAAATTTTATAAATTGATTTGCATTTTAATGAGGGAAATAAGTATTTGACCCCTCTGCAAAACATGACTTAGTACTTGGTGGCAAAATCCAGGAGTGTCCCACTTTTGTAGAGGAAACCTTTACAGCAAAATCATCAAACACCCACCACCCCCACCCCACTACCGTTCCCAAAGTCCGCCGAGTGGAAGGTCATGGCAACGCAAGAAAGTCGACTGATCTTTCACGAGGCCAGGACTCCCCACGCCCGTGTCTGAGGGTTCTAAGGTCAACTGTAGTTTAGATTAACAAAAATATCTGAATGCAACCACAACTCACAAAATAACAAAATTAACCCAGAATGCACCAAATCTCGTCAGATCTTTGAAGCTCAGCCGGGGAAGAGCCTGGGTTTAGTGCTTAATTTGAAGACTGTCTGGGAAAAGCAGACGTTTTAGGCCTTGCGCTGCAAGTTGGCCAACAGATGTCGGTGTACGGTGACGCTTTTTATATTCTTGGTTCTTTCGGTAAAGTCACGTAGCAGGGAAACAATAAAATAATAAAAATATAAAACATCTATGCAGTTGTCGAGTGTTACCCCCCCCCACCACCTTTCGTATGCACAGGTAATCTCCGAGTTACTCCGGTTTCCTCTCACGAGCCAAACAAGCTACAAAGGAATTGGTCGAACATCTGAACGCTGGAACTTCATGAATACAAAATCTCAGAAACAAGTCAGGATTTCCTGAGTAAATGAACGGGAAAAAAATATTCTGACAGTATTATTATTATCACCCACGGATGCGCATATGAACGCCGTTTTGTCAACAGCGCTGGATGCAGCAACAATACGTTCCTAACCTGAAGCCACGAAAAACCTCCCCTATGCATTAAGTGCCTGGCATGAGCAATTCACATTTTTCAGATTCCGTATTCAAAGATCGCACGTGTCCAAAACCAACGGCGCCACGTTCAAGTTGAAACCGGTTCCTTGCGAAGCCTCGGGAGGTACCGGTGGGGCGAGTGGGAGGACGTGTCTCACGGTGGGCCCCCTCCCACCCCAAACTCCCCCTTCTCTCTCCTCGCCGTCCGCTCGATCTCCACCGCGGTTCTAGTTTCTGTACCGTGCCGCAACATCGGACCACAGCCTCTGCATGTCCTCCAGGCCCCTGGTCCAGAGCTCGCGTAGCTTCACCCAGCCGGTGCGCGCCGTTATCAGCAGGTAGTCGGCGTTCTGCGGGTATCGCAGGATCGTGTAGCGGGCCATGACCAGCGACTGGCAGAACCTGCGGGGAAAAGTAGACCATGTTGTTGTTGTCGCCGTTGCTGTCATGACGGTTAATATCGTTTGTTATTCAAGAGGGTTTTTGCTGCCGACTTGTTGATCGGCTGGGATTTTAGCGTCCAGGAATCGCAGCCATAGTTGGATCAAGTCTCGTGGTCAGCAGCAGAAGTGCCAGCAGAAGGAAAGTCGCCGTCTTCATCTTCCTCGTCTCCAGCAGCAGCAGCAGCAGCGTGATCAGCAACATGATCGGAAACAACATCGCTATGAGTGTCTTTTCTATAATCATCATCACCGCCATCAGCAGCATCCGTAGAAGTGCTGTTAGCAACATCATGGTAATCAGCATTATTATGTCTTAACTGTTACTGATCCCCCCCGTTCACCAATACACATTAACCAGCATGGTGAAGTATGGTCAACCACCGCGACGATCGACATGGCATTGGCAAGACCTTCATCATTGGTCTGATGAAGAGCTTTAAATAAATAATAAAGCACTTTTTTTGCCGCACAATCATCGAGTTTATCGGATTCTCGCCAGACCTGGATTAATTCTCGTTACGTAACCGCCACAGGTTTTTGAAGCCAACGTTTCCCGATGCGGCCAACGGCGATCGGGGCAGACCCGACCAAACCTGCCCCGGCCCCCCTCCCCACCTCCGCTCTCACCTGCACGCCACCAGGAAGTAAACGGCCCTCCTCTCGTCCTCGGTGAGGGCCTGCACGCTCTCGTAGCCGGCCAGGACGTGACCCCCGGCCTCCATCGCCTCTCCGCTCTCCACCATCATGTACATGATGGCCATGGCCAGGTCGTACACGTGGTAGCCGAACATCATCGAGTTGAGGTCCACAATGCCGGAGACGCGGTGCCGCGGCGCTCCCTCCGCCGACTTGGGCCCCTGCTGCTGCTGCTGCTGCTCGCTTCCCGCGGCCACCTCCTGCACCAGGATGTTGTCGTCATTGAAGTCACCGTGGATTATGCCTGCGGCGAGGGGGAAACGTCGAATTTGATTTCGTCCGTTGTCTTTTATTGTTGACCGTCCTCCCCTCGTCGCCGTTGTCATCGTTCGTGCCCGTGCCGTTTTTATTCCGGCCGCACGATTGGTGTTGCGCAAGCCGCGTGTGCGAGTCTAAGAACGGCCCCCGCAGAGTCTCAGTGAATCACCGACTTCTCCTGCCTTCAAAGACACATAATTACAATAACCCACCAGCGTCGTACAACCCTGTACAGGGGCGAGATATGGAGCGGTGTGTAGTGGTATGCACACCGCATCACGAGCCCTTGATTCCCGGCCATGGAGAATATCACTGATATCTGAACCAGTCCTGGGATCCTACCTACCTCCTCACCGACCAGCATGGTGAAGGAGGCAAAACAACCCCCATGACCCTACACAGCCTGGGAATGCCTTCGTCCAGATAGTGCATTGACAAAGGGCTGTACATTATTATTATTATGAGTATATGTGTAACAAAAACTGTTGAACACAATTTAGCATCCATTGAAAAATGATTTGGTAGAAATTACAATTATGATTTATATACAGTAGCGTCTGAATGTAATAACCCTGTCATTTGATTTCACCTGTGATCAGTGTCTGTGCGAGTGTCCCCCATTACATGCATGCCTTGTAATGCATCTGTGTATGCTGGGTAAAAGTAATCACGTGAAGCACATTGCAAAGAAAATGCTTGCCACAAATGAATCACAATACCTTGCTGATCTCGTCAAGCAGCATAAACCATCACGCGAATTCGGGTGATCCTCGCAGCGGCTTTTGGCTAACCATCGAACAAAGAAAGACGGTCACCGCATCGCGCGCTTTCAGATGCACTTCTGCGGCCGTCTGAAAAGCTCTTCTTTCCGATATTAGGAAGGCACTGGAGCTATGCACTTTTAAACCTAGATTGAACACTAATTTATTTTTGAACTGATTTTTTTGTGTTTAGTTTGTTGTCCTTCCCCCGCACCTCCGATTAGCACGGTTGGCTACGTACGGTGCGAAAGAAGTTCAACGTACACACGTACGTGGCACCCGTTGTGGCTTCAAGGCCTCGTCGGTGGCCTGAAGCGCCCCTCGCCCCCTGAGGCATGGAGCTACGTCCCGGGTGAAGCTGCGAGGCGAGCGTACATCTGGTAAACTTGTGCAGGTTGGGTTGGATCTCCTCGCGGAACTTGGCGATGACCTCCCTGACCAGACCCTGGTTGGGGTCGCCGTCCAGAGTGAAGAGGTAGGACTCGAGCAGGTGGGTGTTTGACAGGTTCCAGATGAAATCGTCTCGTTGCAGGGAGTGCAGGAACGGGTGCTCAAACTATGCAGATGTTTAAAAACGAAGGCGGTAAGATGACAAAAAATGCAATACGAGATTAACATCGCATTGACCAGTTGAGTACACATGTAAGTTAAAGGCAGCAAAACGTCAAGCTTAGCAAAGGATAGTCTTCGTTTCAGAAAAGATGTTCTCCTTGACTTATTTTCTCTTTGTTTTTTTTTCGGTAAAGTCACGTAGGTAAAACTATAAAATAAAAGAATAAATGAAAAAACAACTACATTTTTTTTCATTCTATCATTTTATAGTTTTACCTACGTGACTTTACCGAAAAAACCAAAGAGTATGAATCCTTGCAGTCACGAAAGCTAAAAATCTAGACTTATTATGCAGCTGAGGGTGGGGCTGCCCAAGTCGTGCGTGCGGCTGGCAAATGTTTGATTGGTATTTGTGAATAACAGGACACTTGAATGGATCTGAGAAGTAGTTTTGTGAGATCACCTTCTGTGGGCCATTCTCTAACCAGAGGTGATGCACAGAATGAGATGTTTTTTTCCATCTCATGACATGGCACCAATTAGCACAACTCATACAGCCCTTATCAAGGCACTGCCGTATTCAGTGTTGGTCATGTAGGGTGTTTGACCATACTTCGCCAAACTGGTCAGTGTAGGTTGGTGAAGGATAGAGGACAAGGGGGGGGGGGGTGGGGGGGGCAGGACTGGTTCAGATATCACTTGCCACGAATGTTAGCCGTGGCCGGAAATAAAACTCAGGTGGCCGGGTTCGTAGCGCAGTGTGCGCACAACTGCGCCACCGCTCCACCCCGACGCTTGGAATAAAATTTGGGGGGGGGGGAAACAACAAAAATACGTTGTTCATAATAAAGGTTTTTGGGTTAGATCGCGTTTATTTATGAATGTGTTGTAACCCTCCACCACCCGACACGGCCAATCAGCAAAAAAAAGTGTCACGTTGACAAAAAGACAAATAATTCACTACTTTAGCCCACCGGTGTGTTGAAGAGTGAATCCACATTTACAGTTTGAGTACGACGTTTCGCTGGTAAATACATCCAGCATCATCGGGCAATTCGCCAGAATGGTAAAGCCCTCGCTTGCTCCCGGTTTTATATAGAGCAGCAGGGTGACGTCATCACTTAACTCATATCAGGTGCAGTGATTAGAGGCGGAGGGGAGGGGGTATTGTAATTATATAATCGATTAGTAATCAGTCATTGGTTATGATTAGTAATGAGTTGTAGATTAGTAATTCTTTAAATCAAAATGTAACGTGTATTATTTAATAATACGCTTCCAGGCCGCACTAAGCCTGTAGCTGTCAGAGCGATTAAAGTTATTCTTGTTCCTCTCAATTTCAATGGATTATCTAATTAGTCTTTGCCAGTAATAATTAATTTTACACACCACTGCAACATTGTCAAAATCAATTGAGTGTCCTTGTTGACAAGCATGTTCTGCCACTGCCGACAGTTGTGTTTGAGATAATTTAATATTTCTCTGATGTTCTTTTAGTCTTACGCTGATGTTACGTCCCGTCTGCCCAATGTAGCAGCTGCCACATAAACAATTAATCCGATATACACCTTCTGTTGATAGTTAGGTAATGCGTCTTTAGTGCAAGATACTAGTTTTTGAATTTTGTGTACTGTACCAAATCTTACTGTAATGTTTTGCTTTTGCAAAACACGGGCTAATTTGTCAGTTACTCCTGAGATATATGGAATTTTTATTGTTTTAACAATCTGGTCGCTTTCAGCAGTATTGCTTTGCGATCGTGATTTGGCATTTAGTGCTCTGTTAATTTGAGCATTATTGTAGCCATTCTGTCGTAGTGCGTCTTTAACGTGTTTAATCTCTCTCACTAGACTCTCACCATCTGAGACTGTTTTAGCCCGATGTATGAGCATCTTGATAAGAGAGGATTTCTGAGCTGGATGATGATGTGATTCTGCATTCAGATAGGCATCAGTGTGCATTTGATTTCTGTAAACGCTGTGTTATTTTATACATCGGGCTAAAACAGTGTCAGATGGTGAGAGTCTAGTGAGAGAGATTAAACACGTTAAAGACGCACTACGACAGAATGGCTACAATAATGCTCAAATTAACAGAGCACTGAATGCCAAATCACGATCGCAAAGCAATACTGCTGAAAGCGACCAGATTGTTAAAACAATAAAAATTCCATATATCTCAGGAGTAACTGACAAATTAGCCCGTGTTTTGCAAAAGCAAAACATTACAGTAAGATTTGGTACAGTACACAAAATTCCAAAACTAGTATCTTGCACTAAAGACGCATTACCTAAATTATCAACTGAAGGTGTATATCGGATTAATTGTTTATGTGGCAGCTGCTACATTGGACAGATGGGACGTAACATCAGCGTAAGACTAAAAGAACATCAGAGAAATATTAAATTATCTCAAACACAACTGTCGGCAGTGGCAGAACATGCTTGTCAACAAGGACACTCAATTGATTTTGACAATGTTGCAGTGGTGTGTAAAACTAATTATTACTGGCAAAGACTAATTAGAGAATCCATTGAAATTGAGAGGAACAAGAATAACTTTAATCACTCTGACAGCTACAGGCTTAGTGCGGCCTGGAAGCGTATTATTAAATAATTCACATTACATTTTGATTTAAAGAATTACTAATCTACAACTCATTACTAATTATAACCAATGACTGATTACTAATCGATTATATAATTACAATACCCCCCCCTCCGCCTCTAATCACTGCACCTGATATGAGTTAAGTGATGACGTCACCCTGCTGCTCTATATAAAACCGGGAGCAAGCGAGGGCTTTACCATTCTGGCGAATTGCCCGATGATGCTGGATGTATTTACCAGCGAAACGTCGTACTCAAACTGTAAATGTGGATTCACTCTTCAACACACCGGTGGGCTAAAGTAGTGAATTATTTGTCTTTTTGTCAACGTGACACTTTTTTTGCTGATTGGCCGTGTCGGGTGGTGGAGGGTTACGACACATTTAGAAATAAACGCGATCTAACCCAAAAACCTTTATTATGAATAATATTGGTCGCGAAAGCCTACATGTTAAACTGACTAACTTCTATGGGGAGGATACTTTTCTTAAAACCAGAAAATTGGAGAAGCTCCGCATTAAGCGGATGAAATTGATATCTTCACTGGCGTTCCTCAAAAGGTGCAGAGATTCAAAGGTAATACCAAACGCAGTTAAAATAACACATCACATAAAGTCTTCTAAAGCTAACCAAATACTACACAGAGCTAGCGAATTATTATTAATAGAGAGAATACAGCACAATAGGAGTGAACTATCTTACATTTCGGAATCGCTAAAGCAGTTACACTTAGATATAAGCAATAGTGTATCTATGCATTATTGGAATATAATCGATAACATAACACAACAATCGGCTCATAATGTGTTTAAACTAACAAAAACTAACCAAATTAATCAATTTTCTAGACTACATAATAAACAAATCCCTACTGAAAACCAAAAATTTAAAAACAAAACCGTACTGAACTTGACTAACACTGTATTAACCGGTGACATGGTCTCTATCCTTTCTAAAGGCCTTAACTTTGCCGTTACCCCACGCACAATTCCAGTGGATGAGATCATTGCTGAGGTAGAATCAGCAGTTAGACTCCTTCCACATAATGAGGCAGAGATGACTAGACATGAGGTTGCTAAAATAATTGAGAATAGCAAAGTTCCAAAAGTAAATATTAGCTCTAACGAGGCAAAAGCCTTAAGAGAGCTGCGTGTAAACAAGGATATCCAAATCCTAGCAGCTGATAAAGGCCGCACTACTGTAGTGATGTCACGAGCCGATTATGATAATAAAATTAGAAATTTACTAGAAGAAAGCACCTACATTAAAATTAAACGAGATCCAACTAATACTTTAGAACGTAAGACCACTGCAATAAGTGCAAATTCATTAATCCCTAAAAATGAGCAATACCAAATTAAGCCAAGGGCCTCAAAACCACCTAGACTCTATGGGCTACCAAAGATTCATAAAATCGGCATCCCATTACGACCCATAGTCAGTACAATTGGCTCTGCCACATATCAATTAGCAAAATATATAACCCAACAAATACAGCCCTACATCGGTAGGACATCTTCATTCATAAAAAAAAATTCAGAACATCTTGTGAATGTGCTTAAAGATATTAAACTTACTCCTGATGATATTCTGGTAAGTTTTGATGTGATTTCTCTATTCACTAAGGTTCCAGTGGACGAATCGCTTAAATTACTTGATACACTAGTAAAGAATACCGGTTTACCAAAATATATTCCGAAACTTGCTGGCCATTGTTTAAATAACACTTACTTCTTATGGAGAGGGGATTTCTTTAAACAAAAGGAATGAGCAGCAATGGGTTCTTCTTTATCCCCTGCTACAGCAAATGTGTACGTGGAAAACTTTGAAATAAGAGCACTTGCCTCGAGCACATTAAAACCATCCTTTTGGTTTAGATATGTGGATGACACTTTGGTTGTCTGGCCACATGGTAAAGATACACTGAATGATTTTCTAAATCATCTCAATGCACAAAACCCGGCCATCCAGTTCACCATGGAAATGGAGGTGAATAACACACTCCCATTCCTAGATATTTTGCTTGGACATGGCCTAAACGGTAAAATAACACACAGCGTTTACAGAAAGCAAACGCACACTGATACCTATCTGAATGCAGAATCACATCATCATCCAGCTCAGAAATCCTCTCTTATCAAGACGCTCATACATCGGGCTAAAACAGTGTCAGATGGTGAGAGTCTAGTGAGAGAGGTTAACCACGTTAAAGACGCACTACGACAGAATGGCTACAATAATGCTCAAATTAACAGAGCACTGAATGCCAAATCACGATTGCAAAGCAATACTGCTGAAAGCGACCAGATTGTTAAAACAATAAAAATTCCATATATCTCGGGAGTAACTGACAAATTAGCCCGTGTTTTGCAAAAGCAAAACATTACAGTAAGATTTGGTACAGTACACAAAATTAAAAAAACTAGTGTCTGGGACTAAAGACGCATTACCTAAATTATCAACAGAAGGTGTATATTCGATTAATTGTTTATGTGGCAGCTGCTACATTGGACAGACGGGACGTAACATCAGCGTAAGACTAAAAGAACATCAGAGAAATATTAAATTATCTCAAACACAACTGTTGGCAGTGGCAGAACATGCTTGTCAACAAGGACACTCAATTGATTTTGATAACGTTGAAGTGTTGTGTAAAACTAATTATTACTGGCAAAGACTAATTAGAGAATCCATTGAAATTGAGAGGAATAAAAATAACTTTAATCGCTCTGACAGCTACAGGCTTAGTGCGGCCTGGAAGCGTATTATTAAATAATACATATTACAATTCCTTATAGGGGAAACACATACTAATTAACGGATTACTAACATAGCATATAATCACTAACACACATTACAACTAATTACTAATCTACAACCCATTACTAATCATAACCATTGACTGATTACTAATCTATTACATAATTACAATACCCCCCCCCCCAATCCGCCTCTAATCACTGCACCTGATATGAGTTAAATGAT